AGGGGTCCGGCTGAGATAGTTCATGTGGGCGAAAGCCTCAAAACTTGGCTCCACCCCGTTCAGTTCGCACCCGGCCACATAGCCGAGTACGTTTACCCAAGAGTTGGGGGCTAACTGCCATAACCCCAGATCATACCCATCTAAAATCCGCTGAACAGCCGGATGTAATGGGAAGCGCAGTCCAGCTTTGATGGCCGCCACATAGCAGCCAAAGCAGCCGTCACCATAGCTGGTACCAGCCGGCCAGACGACAGTATCTTCTGGATCCGGCACAAACAGTAAATACTCCGGGCCCATTTTGTGGTTAGCAATAAAGCTCGCCACATTGTCTCGCATGGTTGCAATCCGGCCCCGGGGCACCCTGCAGTAGTAGGGGGCGTTTTCCTCTCTGTAAGAGGCGGACGGCTCTGCCCAATTATCCCCCTTCTCCACTGCATGAGAACTTCTCGCCTCTTGTAGGCGGCTATGTTTTTCTTCTGAGCCAGAAGAACTATGGTCAGAAGAGCTGGATTCGGACTCGTCCCCTGACGAGTCCGAAGAGGACGACTCCTCCCCTCTCCTAGAGGGGCCCGCCTCCTCTCCCTTAGAAGGAGCAGAAGGAAAATTAGACATGTCCACGGTTAGATGGGAAGGGAACACCTTGGTCCCTCTCTCAGAACTGTCAGCTTGACAGTCGCCTCGTTCTACATCTGGCGCCTGGTCAGATGTTTCACTAAGGAGCACCCTTTGGGAGGAGCCGTCTGAGTTTGATATCATAGCAGTCTTTTTTGTTCTGGCCATCACGTTCTGCATAGACACAGATTCAGTCGGACTTTGTATAAAGGGCAAAGATGGGTCCAGAAAAGGGCAGGCGGCACTCCTAGTCCTAGATTCAGCCGTCCCCGGTGACCGGCTGATCACTAACTTAGGGCGTGTCGTGTGCTTCCATGGTGCCATTTCAAAAAATAAAAAGAAAATTAAGAGTAAGAGAACTGAGTCACCTGAACGGGTGACGGTTGATGAAGTCCTGGAAGTTCGGGTCAGTCGGCTTGTCAGAACAGGCGGTAGGCAGAAAAAGTCCGAAAATGTCAGAGCAAGTTCAGGGGTCCGAATGTTCTCGCAAAAGTTCTCAAATGTGAAAATGACCGAAGTCAGCACTTCCTTTTATAGGCAAAATGAGAAGGCGAATGGTCGCTTCCAAATTCAAAAATTGGGCGGGAAAATCTCTCGGCCGTCTGCAAGGTGACACCTGTAACGGGCCGTCGCTTGTCACCGTGCGACACCTGTCACAGGCGACACGTGACCAGTCGCGTGCCACCTGTGAGGGGCAAATGATTAGGGGATTTTTATCCACCAATCACCGTCTGACAAGTGGACCAACCAGGTTCCGCCACGTGTCCTTCACGAAGGCCAACAGGAGCTTGCCACGTGTCAATCACAGATACGTCCTCCACGGACCACTTAAGACACGCCACGTGTCCACCCATGCCAAATGGGACAACCGGCCATCAAGGCCCATTTCAGTCTAGAGGCCCGATCAGCCCTAGGTTTACCTTAAACCTAGAGAGTTGCACGCTTCCCAAGGCTATAAATACTCGATTAATCCTCATTAATCACAGAACCGAATAATTAAGAGATCAAGCAGAGAAGAACAGACTTATTAACAACCGGCTAATCTCGCTAACAACGCAGATTACCAACACTAAGCACTCTCACCTAGAGAGATCTGATTACTTTAATTTCTGTATTGATTACTCCTTAATCAGGTACTAACTTGACCGTTGGAGGCGGAGCTCTCAGGAGTCTCCGTTATTTTGCAGGTACAGGCGTCCGGTTCCAGTCTCGGAATTGTAACTCTCCCGCAGGACATCAGAAAACCCCGAAACAGTAGTAATTTACAAAGTAGTATTAACCTGCGATAGTAATTGACAAATTTTCTGCTTTCTTATATAGAGCAAAAGCAGTAGGTTGGAGTTTCTTTGATTTATTAATTATTATACTTAACTTTTACTTTTAATTACTGTTAAATTTTGTCAATGTTATATATATGCCAAAGGCCTAAAGCTATAGGTCCCAAAGAAACTTACAATAATGCATGAAAATGAAGTTGTGACAAAATTATCAAGCAAGAGGCTAGATAATTGATGAAAATGTATGATATGATGGTCTACGAGACTACAACTCGACCTATTCAATTATTTTGACTAAGGGAAATTCCCTGTTTCTCATGGTGAGAAACGAAATTTGTTTTTCATGAGGGTATTTTCGTAAATAAATCAACAAATTTTTCATTATTGTATTAATATATGGAGTGTGGAGTACAAATTATAACATTCTATCCGATCCGTCTGAGTAATTGAAACATTAAGCTATATGTACAATGTTTAAGGATAACTGAGATAATTATTCCGTAACAAAATTAGTCGTGTGATTGCCTAATTGGGATTGATGAAAGACAAGAACAATAAATATGGATGATACAGAAAAGGTAGCGCTATTGCAGTTAATCCAAATAATTAGAAACTAATTAAAGACGATAATGTGTAGTTATGATTCTCGAAAATTTATGGACTAGATGGAGGCAAAGGTTTTGCATTCATAGTACAATCCAAATCTTCGAATTTAAAATCAAATTATTGACTATTTCATAACAACACTACATATACAATTGCCTTTTACATTAATTTAGTAACCAAATTATAGGCTGAGGTTGTCATACTTAGGCTGTTCATTAACAGGATTAAAAGTAGGGACATGATGTCCCTATCAATAAGAATGTCGCCAATGGTATTGAAAATTCTATAGTGGTCATATGTATTGTATTTTGTTTTGTGATGAGTTAATTGATAGACATATTTTTAATTTTATAGAAAGAAATTGTACGAATGTGATAGAAACTTGTTAGATATTTTAGTATATTAACAAAAGAAACTTTGAGCAAAGGAATACAGAGGTCTAACATTATAAAATAAAGAAAAGTAAACATAGTTGAAAATTCTTTAGTGGTCATTTGTATTGTGATTTGTGATGAGTTGATTGCTAGATACATTTTTAATTTGTTTGTTTCCCTAGTTAACCAATAAAAATGTAGGAATATAATAGAAAATTGTTAGATATTTTAGTATGTTAACAAAAGAAACTTTGAGAAAAGGTATACAGAGGGTCTAACATTATAAAATAAAGAAAAGTAAACATAATTACGAATCTATACTAACAATACTCTACAACAATATAAAGTACATTATGTGCACATTATACTTATATTTCTTCTGGTTTCAAAAAAAATACTTATATTTCTTATGATGTAATGTGTATTGGTGAATACTCACAATGATCAATGTTTAGTAAGTATATTTCAATAATCTAAAAGGTTATATGTTCATCAATCTAATTTACTCCAACTAGCTAGATAATTAGGGTTTGGAAAACTAGCTAGCTTTATATAGGTCCGATCTCCGATTTTAAAAAAATAAATTGGTTTTAATAATTCCAACTTGCATGTTGACGAGACAATAATTGTACTGATGTGGAGCCTAGCCTACCCTAATCAACGTACTGATCAGGATGACCGCAGGACAGTACAAACTCGACAAAGAGCTTGCCTTGGCCTTATGTCTTGACTTTTGAGGAGTTGACTGACTTAGCTTATTGGCCAGCAAGAAGCAACTTGGCATATGTTGATGTACTATGTATGCAATTGACGTTTCTAATATTGACATACATTATAATGGGACTCGGATGTTTCTCCCTTACCCAAAATGCTATGCCCACCATTACTTCATTTATAGTAATTTACATCTATATAATTAATAATTGCTTAACTTAGTTAGAATTACATGATTATATGTTGTGATACTTTTTAAAGTTGCATTGTTGAATATGGATACTTTTTCAAAAATAATAATTGACATTTTGATTATTTTTTTTTTTACTATGAATTGATGTACTACTCCCTCCGTCCCAGAAAGAACGACCCATTTGGCCAAAACTTTGTCCCAAAAAGAATGACCCATTTGCATTAAAACACCACCAATTTGCAACAATATTTGTGCAAAATTAGCTTCTCCATATAAAAATTTCATTTTCCACGTTATTTTATTACTTTCTCTCTCTATTTTTTTACAAACCCCATGTAAATTTATCTTTCCAATATACTTTTACTTGTTTTTACTTAACTTCCTTAATACCCGCGTAATCAACCCAAATGGGTCGTTCTTTTTGGGATGGAGGGAGTAATAACTTTGGCTTTGTAAGTAGTAATGTATGAAATTTAAAAAACAATAAATATTATGTAAAAATGTTTTTAGATAATTAATGTAAAGTATAACAGTGATCTTGGATCGGACTCTAACGACTGCTTTGGAAATTGAATTTATAATAAACCCTCTATTTTTTGATTTTTTTGAATTAGTAAAAGCAAAAGAGAGAGAAAAAAAAAACAGAGAAAGTAAACGCGATTATCATACATTATAGTAGAAATCGAATTGCAACTTTATATATGATATGTGTGTCAAATTTGACTGTTTAACTAACAATGAAGCAAAGGGAGTATTATAATTTGACTTTTAATGATGTTACACAGTTTAAATATGCTAGAATCATAGAATGACTCTATACTAGGATCGATAAAGAGAAATAAAGTAATAAACCAACTAAAATCTTATCCTGGATTATATTGTAGCTAGGATCGATATGCAAGTATTGGCCATTTATTGTAAACACATAATTATTGGGGAAATTTATAAGAAAGTCCCGTTTGATGCTCAATCAATCAACCATAGATTAATCAAACATTTCAAATATTATGGAATATTGGGTTAATAAGTAATAGCTACGTGAAATTATTCTAATTAAAATAAAATTTTCTTGGAATTTCGATTATTTATTATTAACCTTCGAGAACATTAACATTTTAATGGTTTAAGAGATTAAAGATGCTATCTAATAGGGTCTAAATGTTGTCGAAAATTGAATTGGTTCAACACATATATGTTAGGAATGACAACATAAATAGAAAACTCTTACATAAATAGAAAACTTAACCGTTTTATTCCAAGTAACTGAAAAATCTATTGTAGTACAAATAATTGAAAAACATGAAGTTGAAATGATGAGGAAACAAAAACTTAAATTATCAACTGAAATTAAGTTGGCCATATTTAGGAACCTTAGTAGGGGTAAACAGGCCAAAATTGCGCTCAGTATTTGGCCCAGGCTTCTTATCCTCATCAAACATTGCAAACAAATAAGTCTCAATTGTCTGCCCTGGTTTTAAGGGAGTCCCTTGCTTCACATGATTGATCAAATTCCTATAATATGTTCCTGCGTTGCTCACCGTGGCAGCATCTCCCCCGGCTGATGGCCATCCGGTTTCAGACACCACAATCGCCGTGTTAGGTGCACCCACCTTTGCTAGAGCCGCATACACTGAGTCCACCATTGCATCAAACATGTTTTGGTATTTTTTCCCATTATTTGGATCGGTCACAACAGTCCCACTGGATGTGAATAATGCATAGTTAAGACTAATACTTTGCTCATTACTAATGTAGGCAAAGTAAGTGTAGATGTTAACCAACAAAGGTGATCCATTACTTGTTAAAAATTTGATTATTGGGGTAATGTATGCCGTGTTATTAAATTGACCATTTGATGGCGGATATGAGTTTATGATTAGGCTAGTATCAATTGATGTAGAAACCATAATTTTGTTTTCTAATTGTTTGGATTTTAATGCAATGAGAACATTTTGCATAGCGGGTAAGACTGATGAGGCTGTCATATCGGAGGGATGAATCTCATTCCCTACAACAACGTATTTGACCGTCGATGCAAAGGGCACAACGTTAGTGTTGATCCATTGCATTGCCGCTGATTGATCAGATGCAAGGGACTGAACGTCTTCGTTAGGGACGTCTAGCATGAGTTTAATGCCCGAGCCTTGTAGGACTTGGAGAGATGCTAAATCGGGACTATAGAGCCTCATAGCCCCTATGCCATTAGATTTATACAGGTTCACCACGTCTTTCTTGGTAGGTAAGTTGTCTCCGATCATTCCATTACATACTCCAATTTGTGCCTCTACATTAAATTGTCATTAGAAATTAGTACGTACATAGTAACACACGTATTCTATATTAGTAAAATATGTGTTTATGTGACTTTAAACAATAATTAATATGAATTCGAATTGAAGCAAAGAAGTTGAGATAGAGCAAGAGATACCTGTAAAATGAAGGCAAAGAGATAAAAATGCCACAATGAACAGAGTAGTAGCAACAACAACGGGAGGATTATTTGGGATACTCATCAGAAAATAGCGAAAAGAAAGTAATAATGAAATATATATATATTTGCTTGAATCAATTCTTCTAGAAATGAAGTTTAACTTAAAAGTATTAATTACTTTGATAATACTCAATATGTGTCTTTATATAGAGGCAATAGCAGTGAAAGAGCACAAAAATACAATTACGAGGTCAACTACCAAGTTAAGTACTCAACAAAATATCCATCAATAATACATGAACCGTTATAATAATTGTAAATTGTAAGTAATTTCCACGAAATTGTTCTTCAGTTGGGAGTTAACTTCCCTTACATTTCGTTTATCGTTGTCTAAATATGAATGCTAGACTTGTTTTCCTATCATTGCAGTAAGCTATGTCTTGTACTCGCATTATTCTCATCAGTTTCGAGTCTTCATTCTAGTTTCAACTTACAGATTCATTGCTTTTTGATTCGTCTTTCACTAGACATGTATTATCCAAGGAAGGTGCCCCATTAATCAAGTTATGAGTCATTTCTTCTTCTGCCCCTGCATGTACATCAGAGCTTACACTGTTACAGCTGCTTGATTTTGGAATTTTGATGTGGGATTCTTTCTCAATTGGTATAAATCAACTATTATTCTAGCCTCTTAACAGCCAAAATGACAGAAAGAAGGCACCACAAAAATTAAAGGTTGACAAACTTTTCTTATTTTAGCGTTAGCTTTTTCATGATCTTGTAAGCATGCTTTTCCTAATTTAATTAGATTTAACCAAAAACTTGAAAGTAATTTAAAAGGAGGAGAGTGCTAAGAGATAATATTATATGTTATGAGTATTGATTTTTAATTTCCAAATAATCCTATTTAGGTTAAGTAAAAAGAAGACGAGAATGACACGATTAATATAACAATAGAATTAATGATGATGTTATTTGAAATATACGGGTATATGACTACAATTTATCGTAATCCTAACTTTGGAGAAATCCTTAAACATTGGGTACAATTTTAAAAAGGTACGTAACATGTAAACAAATTATTAAGAATCTTGAAAACATAAAACTCTTAGAGAGTAGAGAGACAAATGTAAAGTGAATCAGATTTTAAATTTTAAAATTTGAAGTTAATTACTACGCCACTTAATATAATAGAGATAATAAAATAGGGAGCAACATAATTTATTAGGGGTAAACAAACTAAACATTGAAAAAATGAAAACAAAAAAATGTTAATTGCCCACTAAAGCTATCGCCTTGTATTACTATTACCCTTTATTAGCCTTTATTTTTTGGAATTTTTAGACTTTTTTCGCCCGGAAATAATAATTGTCGAAATGTTTATCATGGTCCCTAATACCCTTCGGGAGTTCATTTGGGTGGGTAGAACCATCCAATTTGTCTTTAAATGGCCTATTTACCGATTTATAACTTGCACCGATTTCATTAAATCAAGCCTACTACGAACATTTATGACAACATATAATGATCATATATGGTTCCAAACGTCAATATATGACCCCGAGATGTATTGCCTAAAATCTCAAGGCTTTTCGACACCGTGCCCCGAAATCACCAAAATTTCTCAAAAAGTGTGGATAAATAGCCTTTAATTTTGGAATTTTTTTGTCATTTTTTCGCCCGGAAATAAAAATTGCCGAAATTTTTACCATGGTCCCTAATACCCTCCGGGAGTCTAATTGGGTGGGTTGAACTATCCAATTTGCCTTTAAACGACCAATTTACCGGTTTCAAACTTGCACCGATTTCATTAAATCAAGTCAACCAAGAACATTTATGACAATATATAATGATCATAATTGGCTCCAAACGGCATATTATATGACCCCGAAATGTATTTCCTAGAATTTCAAAACTTTTTCGACACCGGGCCCCGAATCCTCCAAAATTTCTCAAAAGGTGTGGATATTAGCTTTCAATTTTGTAATTTCTGACCATTTTTTTCGCCCAGAAATAAAAATTGTCGAAATGTTTACCATGGTCCCTAATACCGTCTGGGAGTCCCATTGGGTGGGTAGAACCATCCAATTTGCCTTTAAACGACCAATTTACCGGTTTACAACTTGCACCTATTTCATTAACTCAAGCATACCACGAACATTTTTGACAACATATAATGATCATATATGGTTCCAAACGGCATTATATGACCCTGAGATACATCCCCTATAATTTCAAGACTTTTCGAAACCAGGCCTCGAAACCTCCAAAATTTCTCAAAAATCGTGGATATTAGTTTTCAATTTTGGAATTTTTTCGCCCGAAAATAAAAATTGCCGAAATGTTTACCATGGTACCTAATATCCTCCGGGAGTCCAATTGGGTTGGTGGAACCTCCTAGCGCATAATTTATTTGACGCAAATGAGCTAAAGTATGAACCGTCACATTGGCTTCTCTATAAATATGCTTGAAACACTCAAAATCAAAAGACAATTTTCTACCCAAAAGTTATTGGTTTTGCCTCCGCAAAGTGTTCTTCAACTTGGGAGTTTACTGCCCTTACTTTTCGTTTATCGTTGTCTAAATATGAATGCTACACTTCTTTTCCTATCATTTATACCAATAATCAGGGTACAACATGCTATCTCATTCAATTATACCAGAGAAAAAATGATCATATAGTCCTGAAAATTTTCAAAGACATAAAAAATACCTATTTACTTGGTATCATAAAGTGTGTGCTGCAACAAATTAGTATCACAAGGCAAGAGTAACAGAATCCCTTGTTTAACTATACAGCATTATTCTCATCAGTTTCGAGTAGTCTTCGTTCTAGTTTCAACTAACAGATTCATTGCTTTTTAATTCATGTTTCACTAGACATGTATTATCTAAGGAAGGTGCCCCATTAATCAAGTTACGATTCATTTCTTCTTCTGCCCCTGCATGTACATCAGAGCTGACACTGTTAGAGCTGCTTGATTCAGCTTTCAGTTGATGTTCAGCTTGGATAGATGCCCGAGAATTCAACTTATAATTCACTTCTTCTTCTGCCCCTGCATTTACATCAGCTTATGTCAGTGCTCGTTACACGTTACGTTGCAAGCACGCAACAAACTAAGCTTACATAATTACATTGGTGATTGGTAGTCATCAAATTACAACATGCACATTAGCCATCACAGTAAAAACATATATAAGCCGAGGTGGAACTAGAATCGATTAATCGTCGATTCCATTACCAATACCAACACCAACAGTTATTAATAATCAGAAGCATTTTATACCTTTGATTGAAAGAATAGACAGGGTTTTATCAGCATCAACATCTCTAAACAACCCGATAATGCGGATTGACCCTCGCTCTGCCAGTGCAGCTTGGTATGTACCAATACAACCAGTATCTTCATCAACGGCAGAAAATGTAATGTAGTAATGATCAAGATAGCTAAAAATAACATTGGCCCTTATCATCCGTACTAATTTCAGTTTTGCTCTCTGCAAATTAATAAATGATCGAGTCAATAATAATATAAAAGGGTCCAATAAGTCGATATGATATAACATGATACGACATGATTCAAAAAGATTAACCAAACCTTGTGCTTGTTATAGTGATGAATTACTTTAAGGGCTAATTCAGCTTCAAGTTTCACATCATCAAGTGGCCCTATACAGCCATCTTCATCATCAACATCATCGTACTCTAGATCATCGAAATACTGAAAGTTCAACAATTAAATAAATACTTTATTGTATATCATCAATAATTTTATGTAGTGTATAACAGGAATTGCAACAAAATAAATTAATAGCAAATTACCTCAAGTTCGTGTTTAAAATGACAATCAACTAAGAAATTGATGATCGCAGAGTAAGTCGAGTGATGTTTCGATTGTGAAATCAATTCAAGGCCATCAACTTCAATAGAGCCGGCCTCAAAAACATCAATTAAAATATCTTTGAACTTGTTCACAATTTCAATGTAATTCATGGCATGCAATTCACGATTCTTGATACAAACCTTCAAATTCTGGAACAAATTCTTCAAGATCTTCAATTCATTGTCATCATATATCTTTCTCGTATCAGAGTATTCATCATTATTATCCCCGTATTTCATCAAGAAATCATCAAATCCCTCTTGATATCTTTCAAATTCTTGAAGATCAGCATCGTATGTTTTTGAAACCGTCTAAATTCCTATTTTTATAGTAGATGACAATAGGTCGGTTTTAAAAAAATCTACCCGGATTACATTAGGATACGGAGTAATAAACTCAGGTGGAATACTAGATCTCAAATTCTCAACCCTTTTCCCTCATTTAAAAAAAAAAACCTTTTCCCTAATAAAAAAACTAACGAATTCGAATTTAAATGGGATTAGAAAAGATATTTACTCCTATCAAATACACATACATACGCTAACATAGTTAAACATAGTTAAACTTTACTGTGATACATAACATATACTACGAGTACTTGTTAAACCAATTTGACTTTTGACATAACAACATTTGGATCCTATTAGATAGTATCTTTTAAACCGTTAAATGTTAATGTTCTTGGAGGATAATAATTAATAATCAAGAAAATTTTAATTTAAGTCGAATAATTTCACCTGTTATTAAACTAATATTCCATAATATTTGAAATGTTTGATTAATCTATGATTGAGCATTTGAGCATCAAATGAGACTTCATATAGATTAATCTATGAAATGTTTGATTATTCAGGCATGTACATGAGGTTAACGCGAGTGCTCATTATGCAGCAAACTAAAGTTAGAGAGTTACAATGGTGGCCATCAAATTACAACATGCACATTAGCAGATAGAAACAACATAAGCCAATGACCCAACCCCTTGCTTAATTGTGATTACATGATTTAATTTGGTATAGTGATACTAAGAGGTGGAACTAGAATCAATCATTCTTCTAGCTGACCCTGCATGTACATCAACTTACAGAATCATAACATAAACCCTTGTTATTACATGATTAGGCATAAGAAGGTGGAAATAAAATCAATTAATAAATTAATTGCTTCGGCCAATTGATTTGATATGAGAGCGAGGTAGTGTATTATATATTCTTCCCAATTAAACCCTATGATGCTAATGACAACCAACAAAGAAATCGATCATATCAGAGTAAGTCCAGTGATGTTTCGATTGTTAAATCAATTCAAGGCCATCAATCTGAATAAAGCAGGCGTCAGAAACATGAATTACAACATCTTTGAACTTGTTCATAATTTCATGGCATGCCATTCAAGATTCTTTGTAGAAAGATTCAATTTCTGGAACAAATTCTTCAAGATCTTCAACTCCTTCTCATAAAAAATTGTACTCGTTTCCAAGTATTCATTGTTATCATCCATATATTTCTTCAAGAAATCATCAAATCCGTCTTGTTTATCAAATTCTTGAATGTTATTATTGTACATTCTACGCAAAACCTCCATTGATCCAGAATTTCCACACTTTCAAGAAACCCTAATCATATTCAAAAAATAAAAAAAAAAACTTATTAACTATTACCAGTACTAAAATAGTTGCTGACATCATCATTGCTCACGTATCACTTTCTCAATAAAAAATTTCAAAAAAAAAAAATTCCAACTTAAATGCAATGATCATGTCATTTTTTTTTTGGCAACCTATCATATTTAATATTTTTGAAATTTAAATATTAGAAGCTTTTACATTACAACTAAAATATACTCCTATCAATTTATCGTAGGAAATTGAAACAAGTTTAAATATCGTACTAATAAATTACTCTATTAACTATTACTAAAAACAAAAGTTGCTGACATCACCATTGTCCACGTGTCGCTTTTTCGCCTAAATGCAATGATGATGTCTTTTTTTTTGGGAAAGCTATCATATTTATCATTTTTGAAATTTAAATATTTTCTGCATTACAACTAAAATATATCAATTTGTAACAATTTTAAATAGCACACTAATAAATTACCTCCTACATTGAACTATGAATTGGACAATGTTGAACAGATACTATATCATAATTTTGATTAAAATAAAAATATTTAAAATTACAAAATATACTTAAGAGCAACTACAATAGTTGGCTAATTTATTTAATAGTTTGGCATGTTATATATCTTTTTTAGCTACAACAATTCAAGCTAAATATAGCCAAAAAATTTCCAATCAAAAGTGAAATTATAATCAATTAAAATAGCACCTTCATTAGTCATTGAATACACCAACATTTTAATTAATTAAAAATAAATCACAAAATTAAATGAAAATTAACCATGATTATTCCACACACATAATTAAATTGACCTATTAGAAAATTGACTAGCTAGTACTCCCTCCGTTCTCAAAACTTATTTTTGGTTGATTTCGCAGTTATTAAGAAAATTAAATTAAAAAAAAAAAAGTAAAAGTATATTATAAAGGTAAATTTACATGGGATTGGTAAAAAAGAAAAGAGGGATAATAATAAAATTATATGAAAAAATAAAATTTTATATGAAAAAGTTAATATTCCACAAATATTGTTGCAAATTAGTGTGTATTTTACATTACATGAAGTAAATTACATTAAAATCATTTATAAATTAACAAATTATTTCATGTATTTGATATAAACCTCAAGTTGATACTCTTCAAACCAACATATAAACCTCAAGTTGAATTTATTAATTTGTGGTATTTTTAAAAATTGAACTTATAGTATTTGTGGTTTTGCTTAGATGTCGGTTCTGGAAGAAAAAGATCCTGAGCTGGAAAAATATATTCACCTAATTAATGTCACTAGTGTCAACGACATTAATACTTCCAGTCATGGAAAGGGGGCAGCCGCCTTTTCCAACAATAGGAAGGAGATACTAGTGATTGACTCAATGAGTGGGAAAGATGCTCATTTAGATTATGTTGATTCGTTGAGAAAGCTCGTACGTGTTTCTATAATTGTTTTGGTTTTTGATATAAAACTTCAGGTCCTCTAATTATGTTAGCTAATATTTTTGTTTTTTGGGGTATATCATCAGTGCTCTACCATGAACCGTATTTGCAAATAAATTGACAAAAATTGCAACGTGGATACGTCTGACTGGAGCAAATGGGGTCTTGAGATGCCCAAACAAAAAGATGGGTAATATTTCTATGACACCCGTCTTTATTTCTTGATATTTATTTTTTTAGAACTAATCATTTTATTCTTGTGTGTTTATTGCAGGGTTAGCTGCCATCAAGCTAAATGCATTTCAGTTTGTGGGTTCTATCATTGTGGTAAGATACTTGTCTCATTAACATATGTCGGTTATTATTCTAACTAAATAAAGGGTATTCTAACCAACTAATATTTGGTAATAGGGTAACATTCAAGAAGCACGCGAGACATTGTTTGCTGAAGATGTGTTGTGTGAGTTCAACTAAATCAGATAGTATCTTTAAAAGTAGCATAATATCTGTCAAGAAGGGATTGTCGGTATCTTTGAAAACGAGATTGTCTTTAACAAAGGATGCTATTTTTGGAAACCATTATAGACATATAACCATTATGAGTTGTACAACATTGATATAACCATTATGAGTAGTGCAAACCAAAAAAATTATTTAATAAATATTGTGGAATACTTTATATATAAATTTGTTCCTTTTTTAACATAAGAAGTTATCTGATACAAATTATATTTATATAACTTACAGTTGATTATCCGGATAACCGGATAATTAGCTATACCTTATAGTAGTTGATTATCCGGATATCTATTATTAAATCATGGTGCTGTCAAGCAAATTAATAAAGGATCTTCAAATATCAAATATTATCATCATGGAAACGATATGAATAAAAAAGATGTCAAGCAAAACGGGTTAGGGTCAATCTTGGGTTTGGGTCGGGTTTGGTTCAGGTCAATATTTAGCGGGTTATATTCAGGTCGGGTCATCTCAAATCGAGTCATGTTCGGATTCGGGTCTCGAATCATAAAGTTAACTCGGGTCTCGGGTTGGTTTCAAGTCGGGACATATCAGGTTCGGGTCACCAATTTCTCGGGTTCAACCAAGTCGGGTCATGATCGGGTTGGGGTAAAATATTCGGATCGGGTCAGCTTTTGACAACTCTACTTACCACTACTACTTCCCTTAATGTTAGTAGCGATCCCTGACATTCTAAAGTGTCAAAAGCTCTACGTACCATGGAACTAGGGTGGTCGAGGGACTAAGTGAGGTATAAGATAAAGGGTTGTTCAAGGACCTAAAGATAGTATTTCAAACAAAAAGATACTATCCTGCATCGAAAAATATTATCTTTCTAAAATGATACTATCATAAAAAAAAGATATTATCATATATAAAAGATACTATCAGAAAATATAAGAAACTATCAAAAGATAAAGAAATTATCATATAATATATAAATCTATTATTAAATCATGAATAAAAAAGATGTCAAGCAAAATGGGTTTGGGTCAATGTTGGGTTTGAGTCGGATTCGGTTCAAGTCAATAATTAGCCTGTTATGTTCAGGTCGTGTCATCTCAAATCGAGCCATGTTCAGGTACGGGTCTCGAATCATAAAGTTAACTTGGGTCTCAGGTTGGTTTCAAGTCGGGACGTACGGGTTGGGGTAGCCACCAACTCTCCAGTATTTGAGGAGCCCCGTCCACGAACTCCTCCAAGATGAATATAATTATATTAAATTTAATAAAATCTTAAAATAAACTTCAAAGTTTTTTTTGTCTATTAATTGCGCCTATTATTAAATCATATTATTTGGATGAAAATGTTATTGGTGGAGTTAATAACTGAGGCTACACCATATGCTTTAATATAAAGGCAAGAATTCCTAAATATCCGGATATCCTAATAATAAGTTATTGTTCAAATTGTATTATTGGTAACATAACAATTATTTTTACGAGTAGTGAATATTATGATCATGTTTGGTGAATGACTTGTGTTAACACTGCTTTTAAATCATAAATTAGGACTGAGAAGGAAATTACACCAACGGGTGGCTTCCCTCATTATGGTATCGTTAAGGATGATTATATCCTGATCAAGGGTTGCTGTGTTGGTCCCAAGAAGAGAGTGGTGACTCTAAGGCAATCTCTCCAAAAGCAGACATCCCGTGTTGCACTTGAGGAGATCAAACTCAAATTTATCAATACATCCTCCAAGTTTGATCATGGTCGCTTCCAGACTACCAGCGAAAAGCAGAAGTTTTATGGTCGTCTTAAGGCTTAAGTAAAATTACAGTCAGTTGTTGCGGGCTTGTAGTTCTCCTTTCTAAGACTTGTCTTATCTCCCTTCTTAATCTAGTATTTTTGCAGAAATTTGATGAGAGTAATGTTGTCAGCTACATACTTCAATTTAAGTTTTTTTTTGTATTTTATTGACATCTGAAATTTTGCTGTTAATTAATTGTTACTTATAGATGGTTCATTTTAGATTTTGTCGAGTACAGAGTACAAATTTTGTTGATTGCATGATGAGTTTTTGGTTGTTTATTTGAATGAGTTAGGGTTTATGTCCGGTTGGTTTTCTTTGGAATGAACTGTGATATACTCCCTCCATTTACAAATATAAGACCTCTTTACCTATGCGCGGAGTTTTAGGAGTATAATATAATAATGTGAGTGGAAAAATTATTTATTATGGTAGAATTAATGTGGGGACCATTGAAATGAAAGTATGTGAGAGAGAGTAGTAGGACCCATGAGAGAGAAAATGATAAATTAATGTAAGTGGGGTTTAAAGTAAGAAAGAGAAATGATAAAATATTAAATAAAGTTACTAAATAAGGAAAGAGGTCTTATATTTGTAAACGGACGAATATGGAAAGGAGGTCTTATATTTGTAAACCGAGGGAGTAGTTTTACCGCCTTTTAGTTTTTATGGCTTACTGTGTGAGGAAAGCAATTTGGAAAGGCATTGTATTGGTGTTTGAAACGTCCATCTCCTTGCTCTCTGAGTTCAAGTACTTCATCCTTTTGAAGAATTTTTTAATTGACAAAAAAACGACCATCTAATTTGTAACTTTCTTATTTTGAAAGAGACGCATCTATATTAAAACTAAGGAGTACGAAGTTTTAATTGAAATCGGCATACGCAGAGAATAATATCCAATTTTGGTTGCTCCTAAGGACTAAATAATACTCCCTCCTATTATTATAGGTAAATATTCCTTTTTGACTGTCTTAAAATGTTCCTGATATTTCCTTAAAATAACATATAATTATAACTTTTTACTGTTTTTTCTTGCGAAACATACACATGCTAACAAAAGTCATTACTTATTTTTTTGTCTTTTATGTACAATATTCTCTACTTTTCCATGATCCCCACAAAAAATTTGTCACTTTTTCATTCTTTATTTACCTTTTCCATCTTCCTTATAACCGTATGTTTTTGAGTTATAAAATGCTTCAGTAACGATCCTGACATTCTGAAGGGTCTCAGGTTGGTTTCAAGTCGGGACGTATCGGGTTGGGGTAAAATATTCGGATCGGGTCAGCTTTTGACAACTCTACTTACCACTACTACGTCCCTTATTTACAAAATGTTAGTAAGGATCCCTGACATTCTGAAGTGTCAAAAGCTCTACGTACGATGGACCTAGGGTGGTCGAGGGACTCAGTGAGGTGTAAGATAAGGGTTGTTCAAGGACCTAAAGATAGTATTCCAAACAAAAAGATATTATCCTGCTTCGAAAGATTTTATCTTTCTTAAATGATATTATCATAAAAAAAGATATTATCATATAAAAAAGATACTATTAGAAAACATAAGAAACTATCAAAAGATAAAGAAATTATCATATAATATATAAATCTATTTTTAAATCATGAATAAAAAAGAGGTCAAGCAAAACGGGTTTGGGTCAATGTTGGGTATGGAGTACATGATCCAGGAGTATGTAATACTAATTGTAAAATTGGGTTTAGACGGTTAGCTTTAGCCTCGATAAAAATTTGTTCGAGAAAAACAATTAGGGTTTGGTGAAAGTGTGGAAATTCTGAATCAATGGAGGTTGAGCGTAGAATATACGATGCAGATATTGAAGAAATTGAAATAGATGAAGGTAAAGAAGACGGATTCGATGAATTTTTGCGGAAATACGCGTGTGTTAATGATGAATTGTCGAATGCGAAATCGATTGTTTTTGAGAGGGAGTTGAAGATCTTGAAGAATTTGTTCCAGAAAATTAATCTTTCTACCAAGAATCGTGAATTTAATTTCATGCGATGAATTACAATGAAATTATGAACAAGTTGAAAGATGTAATTGATGTTTCTGACGCCTGCTTTATTCAAGTTGATGCCCTTGAATTGATTTTTCAAGCAAAACACCACTACGTTTACGATAATCTCATCATCTTCTTCGCTGATTGTCACCTCTTGAGGTATGTTTAAATTTAAATTTCTTGTAATTCCTGTATTTATTTATTTATTTATTTAATTGATTGATCTGATGATATACAATGTATAAATTGATACTACGGGGTCTACGGGGTATAGAGGCAGTTGTTAATGTGGAATCTCGCGCCGAATTAGCCCGTGTAGCAATTGATAACTTGATAAGTATAACCATCACAAGGTTTGTATATACTCTCTCCGTCCCTTAATACAACGCCTTTTTGTAGGGAGCAAAGCTGAAGTTGGTGCAGATGATAAAGGTGAATTTTATGCAGAAGAAGAAGCGAATTATGATTTGAATTTTCAAGCATCTATCCAAGCTGAACATCAACTGAAAGCTGAATCAAGCAGCTCTAACAGTGTCAGCTCTGCATCTGATGATATACATGCAGGGGCAGTAGAAGAAGCAATGAATATTGAATAATAACTTGATTGATGGGGCATCTTCCTTAGCTAATACATGTCTAGTGAAAGATGAATCAAGCAGCTGTAACAAGGTAATGTAGCTTGATTAGGTCCAGAAGATTATGAATTGTTTAGTATAGTTACCAAGTATAATATAGTTATAAGGAAATAGACAGAAAATATATAGAGCAGGGTAGTTGGTGAATTTTGGTATATAGGGGAATTGAAAGTCAAAGGGTTGATACTTCAGTTTTCTTTCTCTCTTTGTTTACTTCAACTTGTACAAGTATTAATTAAACGTAACCCTCTTTATAGGATTAACGCATTCAAGCAAAAGAAGACGAACATGCTTAAAAAATTAGTGTAGAATTTGCTCACAAAGGAGAAAGTTCTTTAATTTGTTCACATTTCAAATGACTCCCTCCATCCATATAAAATTCATATATAGTCACATGCATGTATGGACACGTGTTACAAAATATGTAATAAAAATCAAGGTTTTTTTTTTTTTTTTTACTCCGAGAGAAATCATATAGACGCTTTGAAAGAACTAATAAGAAGTATAGAGGTGGTATAAATCTACACAACCAGATCATATATATGCAATAAGGTACATACTGATATAATAAGAAATTCCACCTTCATAATTGCAACATGGGTCATAAACTCATATATGATGGACAAACTTGAAGTTCCTAATAATGTCATTTAGCTCTATAATAATATACTTTTTTTTAAGACACTACTCCATAATAATGCACTTCCCAATTCCCCATTCGATTACAAGTAACTTAACAAGGGTTGTGTTATAAACGGAACTGCGGGAACAAAAACAGTAAGAACAAAGTTACCGAAAAATAGACTGAGTCGCGGACTATGTCGCTTTCTTTAGAACATTCACGGCACTGCCCTGAAATGGTGCAAGCAGTTCGTACTAAACCGGATGTTCCCCAGGATAAAACAGCATTTCTCTATTGAAATTATACCGGTGGAACTGCACAAAACCACCGGGCAACTAAACACCCAAAAAGAAAAGAAACTGCTCGAGGGTTTTGTTTTTGTGAGGAAAAATAGAGAGGAGAAGAAGATTGCTGTTCGTATTTTTTTTGTGTATCAAAAACAGGAAATCAACACGCCTTTTATAGGAAAAATTGCAACGTAACTGCTGCTGTTTAATTAGGCACTAATCACGCAATTAAAACGGTCATAAGTTGAACGTTCAAAACGGTTAAAGAAGATTAATGCGTGGCAAAACGTTTAGCAAAAAATCAGTGAAAACGTTTGCATGATTAACGCTCCATTAATCAGTTTTGAATAAAAACGGTCAAATGCAATCAGTCAAAAACGTTTAGCAAAAATCAAGGAACTAATCACGCAATTAGCCTTGTCCAAAAAATAAGTTTATTTAATAAACCCGACCCGACCCGACCCGACCCGGCTCGGCGCGCGTGTGTGTGATAGATGGTTTACCATATAGGTCCTCCCTCTCCACAAAATGTGGGTAGCCCAAGGGCCACACCCCTTTAGCCCACTCTCTATATTATAAAGAGAGTAAAACTCTCATTTCCCACCAATGTGGGACTTTGAGTTTTTCACAAAATTCACACACTACACACTTGTTCCAACAGGTTGTGAATTATTGCAATATTGAAACAAATAGCTGTTATTAATTTCCATGAAACAAGATTTCTTGTGGTATAAGCAATATTAGAATCTATTACGTAGTCATCTATGTTACTATGTATGGCGGGGTGTTAATTGTCTAGGAAAGGAAATTAAGGAAATACTACGTAGTAAATAAAATACGTAAGTTTGGTATTTTTTTTTTTTTTTTTTAGATTTTATAATGGTTGTTAAAAAGTTGGACATACATCTCACTTTATTACTAGTATAATTTAAATGTTCATATAAGCAATTAAGCATAGCTTCTTCCAAATTTCCAATAGACAAATATTTTAAGGCCAATCAAGTAAAATAAATAAAATGTCAAATTTCAAAACAAAAAAAAAAAAAAAAAAAAAAAAGTCAAATAATAACGAATAGCTGAGTTATTAGTCAAACATTTTAGCTCATTAATATTAGTATAAATAGTACTCTCCCACTCTCCGTATTGTACTTGAAATAAAAGTAATTCTTAATTTTGTTACAAATGATCATTTGATAGTGTGTTGTAGTGTTGACCATAAATATCGCCTATTACGGCTATTAGGTATGAAAATTCAATATAGGGTTTGAATTAAACTAGTACAATATTTTTTTTAGGTGAAGGAATTAAGTTAGTTTATATGGAGTAAAACAAATTTCAAATAAATTAAAGTAGGGTTTAGGGAGTACATTTAATATTTAAGTACTAACTCTGATACATATTAGTTGCAATGTATCACAAATAATACCCCAAAATTGTATGAAATATAATGTCATGGA